ATGTCAATGTTTTAAAATTTTTTAAGTACATTAGCATAACGTGTTGTATATAAAGTTAAGTATATAATCTACTGATATTACTTCCTGATTTTATGGTGTTTGATTTTTACTACTACCACATTTAATGAGATGGTACTGCTATTGTAACAGTTTCATCAGATGGTAAACCTGAGTTTATATTTAAAAAAAGGTAAAATTTTTTTTAGCTAAAATACCATTTCTAAGAAAGCTCAAATTATGTTTTGTGTAGCATTTTACATATCTAAATGTCAAATGCTCTACAAGTTTCCTTTCAGGTTACGTCTGCAAAAACAGATTTTACAAGGGCCTGATAATATGTTAGACACAGCCAGCTGAATTCGAAGTAACATTTTCCTAATTTTGCTATTTATTAAAGAAAAAGAACTTCCTAAAACTGCATCATATCATCAAATCTTCATTTTGATGTAAAAGTTTGAATAATTTAACAGGATTTGGCAATTCAATCTGATGACAAGAACATAGTATGTTTAAATTGTGGAAACAATAGGAAGTATGCAATGAAGGGCTACCAACTTGTATTAAATATACATAGATATACATATGAACAATAGCAGCTTCATAATACTGCCAACAAGGCACTGAGTTAACCCTCAGGATATAAGTTTGTGAGGTTTTCTCTGTATGTATGTATTGTATTTAAGGGAACATTACGTAAAGGTATTTAATAATTAACCATTTTATAAATGTTTTTTAGTCTCCAATTTTTCAGAACAACATGATGTGGTCTCACCAAATTTTCAAATATATTCATGTTTAATATTTCTACTAAAACATTAAATATGGTATTTCATTCAACATTTTACTGAACTTTTAGGTTAGTTCTGAACACAGTGAAGTCTGTCTATGCTGTTGTTCTTGTGTGCCATAGAGTCAACTCCAACTTACAGAGACCCTGAACTCAGTGTAAATCTTTACAGGCTCAGACTGCCAGGTCCTTTCTCCCACACAGCAGCTGGCAGGTTCAAACTGCTTCCCTTTTGGTTAGCAGTCAACTGCTTAAACACTGCACCACCGAGCCTTCTTAAAGTTTGTCTATATCCCACAAGTAAACCCAGTACTCCCATTGTAAGAATCACAGAGAACTAGAAATTGATCCCTTCTCAATTTTATTCTGTAATTTTTATTAATCCATCCTAAGATCTACTCAGTTTTTGAGCCAGAAATCTTGGAGTCAGCCTTCATTTTTCACTCTTCCTCATCCCCCACACCCATTCTGGTACACATAGCTCTCAGTTTTACTTCGTGAACATCTCATGCTCACCAAAGCTGATTTAGTTCAAGGTACCATCATCCTTTGCATGCCTGTTCATTGCCACCACTAGTATCTAAATTCTAGATTAGATGGTACAGACCGTGTCTGACTTATTTGCTATTGTCTTATTCATCACCACAAAGCAGATGCTAAATGAATAAATAGATGAGTGGATTTGCTAAGAAGTGCTGGAGGGACTGGCAGTCCAATGGAAGAGACAAGTATATAAACAATAACTCAAAGCAATGC